TCGCCGATGATGATCCGAGATGATTTCGCAAAAACATCCAGCCTCGCGGATAATAACTGCTCATAATCGGCAACTTAACTTGATTACCGTTCTATGCTTTCCTTCTCGTCGAGGCCTTCGTGTTAAAGTTCATCGATACGTCAATTTATAATCGCGAAGAAAAATTCTGAATCTTCGCAAATAATCGACTCATGACGCAGACAGGCTCGTTAACGATTCCAATCGCTTCCAATGGTGCCGATCGTTGTCGAAAAAAAAAAAAAAAAGAAAGAAAAAAAAGACACGATTCGAGATATATACATAGAATCATCGCGAACATCATCGCATCAGGCTACTGCGAGGACTGTACCGCGTCCAACGTCAATAAAACTTCACCGTCCCTGCCACCGCTCTCTCTGACTCAGAGCTTAATTGGAGAACAAAAAAGCTGAGGAGATCCAATTGACCCGGAAGCGGACATCAACGCAGGCAGGCGCAGACGACAGTCCTACGAATGGTTAGTGAAAAATGCTGGTCTTCGAGGAAATTGACCGTGAATGGGGAAAGACGAAAATTCAAGCGGTCATCAAGCGCTCATCTCGCTCATTTTCTCTTTCCGCAAATGACATCGGCATTGCTCTCGCGAAACGTTAATCTAAGCTTTACCCCCTCGACGAGTCGCGAAAAAATTTTCAACCGAGGAAAATACCGGTCGTGAAATATATCCGAGGAGGAACGGAAAGTGCGAGGGAAAAAAGAAAGGGAAGAGAGGAAAGAGAGAAAGACGCGATCGCGAACGAGGGATGAGGTATCGATACGACGATATGATGATGATGATGATGATGAAAAACGAGGCACTTTCGACGATCGATAGAGAAAACGCGACTCGTTGTGAAGCCGCGCGAAAAGGGAAAGATAAAGAGAGGTGGAGGACGAGAATAGGGCCCCGCAGGGGGAATTTCGGGGGAAGGAGGGGGGGGGGAAGGCTCGTCGCCGTGACAGCACGTGTGTAGCAGAAGCGAACTCGGGGCCCCAGTTCGGTCCGTGGCTCGTAAAGCCTTTCATAAAAGCTTTCATAAAACGTTTCACGATCTCGTCGTACCGAGGGAATTCAGCGACGATCAACGTCTCGCAAGATTCGTCGGTCTTTCTCTGGTCACCTCCTCCTTCTTCCTCTTCTTCTCCTCCATTCTGCGCGCCAGAAAATATTCCCGGCCGAGTGCGAGATATGCGTTTCGCGAATTATCGTGAATATCTGACAAAATAGAAAATCGCAAGGGTTATTGCTTCCCGCGGTGTAAATTCCATTTAGAAGGTCCAAGAGCAAGAATAAAAGTCTAAGGCTATCGTAACCTGTTTTCCTAGTTCTAGTAGTATTACTTCCTTTTTCTTCATTTTTCTTTCCCGTTTTCTGCTTGCATAAATTTCATCGAGAAGACATCACGATCCTCCGATTCAACGACTCGGTCGACCACCTGAGATCCTTAACGCCTCTCGTCAACCAAGAAGGAAGGGAGCCTCTTTGTCCGCTTTCAAGGAGGAAGCTCCGATTTCGATCTCGCGAACGATTCGTCCTCAGGAACCATCATACCTAACTCATAGCGAACGAGGTACGCGCTTGGAGACATAAAAGCTCGTAACCAGGCTGATCCAGGCCGCATCCCTCTCCTTAATACCGCCGATCCCCTCCCCTCCCCCCCTCCCCCTTTCCCGGTCCCTTTCCTTACTCTACCAACGTCTCGAATTAAACCCGACCAGCAGATACGACAGATTCGTTGAATAGCAGTCGAGTTAGCTGGCTTTTTGAATCCGGCATTTCTTAACGAAGGGTTTGCAGCGTTCGTTTCTCCTTCCGATATAATCCGAGGAGACGAACTCACTTTTCAAAACGGAAACTTCTCCACGTCGAAGT